TATTGAAACCAGAAGCATTAGTGAATACAGCTTCAGTGTCTTGAAGATCAAAAAACCCAATCAAAGACCCATTGATACCTTTACGTAGCAACTCCTCGTTACAGTTACTCAATCCTTTTAATTCTCCAATGAGTCCAGTCAAGAAGAAATCGGTTATAATCCAGAGATAGTTAGGATAAACCATATTTTTATTTGCAGCTGCACACAGGAACTTTGCTGTCTGTGGTCCAGTGGTTTGTAGGAAGACTATTCTGGTTCCTGTGGTTTTGATATTCTCCAGTGCAGTGTCTATTAATTCTTCTCTAGTGTGTAAGATGCCACCATGATAAGTGATAGTATACTTATCATTTGTTTTATTAATGAGATCAATGAATGACTCCGCTATACCAGAATGAAATAGCGTGTTCAGATCTTGAAATAAACCCACTTTTTCCCATCCAAAGTGCCTCATTAATGATAGCATCATGTCAGTGTATGCTTTAGCTGAAACTAGTATCCTCCAGAGATGAGGAAACTTTTCTAAATCCCTTGAAAACAATGGAGAATTGGCTGCGGATAGTTGTATGAGACCAGCCCTACCAGCGACTGGTGCTATATGCTGTGCACTAGTTGAACAGAATAATCCCAAAACAGCAACAACACTTCCATTTTCCCTGCCAATTCCTTTACTGGCCAGTTCCTTAATCCCTAAATTAGCCTCTGTCAGCCCACATGCCTCATGTCTTCCCTCTATCATTTCTAAAGTATAATTTGTTAGTATGTCAGTTCTGTTGTTAATCTCTTGTACAGCAACACGACCAGCAGCTAGCATATCAGGGCCAGTGTCCCAGCCAGAATGAGTCCTGTTAAACTCATCCCTCCATTGAACGAGGGCAAGAAAACGGACGACCCTTTCTCCGCTGTAAATCTTCTGTGACTCACTCCTCAAAACTGCTGAGATTAGAAGTACGAAAAGCCGGAGGTGATGAAAAGTAGACATGGTAATGAGAGGAGAGCTTTTCCACGACTGGCGTTGGTGGTCAGACAATATTGCTTCTATTGGAGTATGAATTTGACACATCTATATAATCTGGTGATCACAGTGAACTATGTACCATAAATTGCTCTGCTATGCATGAATTAATTGCCTTTTCCTTCACGTAACTTTACTATAAGAGTACAAGAGGAAGCAGCTACTACTACTAGAGTGCAAGAGTAGCTGCTTTGCTTAAGATGTGTGGGTTTTACTAACTTTATGCAAACATGGTAGCTAGTTTTTACTGACAAAATGCAAACATTGTTTTAAATTGTCGCTGCCATTTGTAGCCAAGAAGGACAGAAGACAAGAAGACATCGTCGGTCATTGGTCATGATCATCATCGTTATCTTATCACTGTGTTTGTCAACATTTACAAAGACTAATAAGGTAGTCAATTTAGCATTGGTCTCGCTTGGCCTGATGACTATTTTTTGCATTAAATTTCATTTGCATATTATTCTTGAGTACATTGTTAAAAGTTTATATTTATTTGTTTACATTTTAAGAGAAAGTTATTAAACATGAAAATTAATTATTGACATCCTGATTAAAATAATGTCACAATGATCTTTTAACAAAGAATTGATTACAAAAAATTAACAACATCACTTTGCTCATTATTAAATAATAAGCTGATAAGTTTAGGAAGAAACAGAATAAAGACACACTCACACACAATGATCAATGAAAATGATATGGCAAAATAATGTGCAATGATCGGCATATCCATTAAATCAAAGAATGCAATTAAGCAAGCCATAAATGTAAAAGTTAGAACATACAAGTATATAAAAGCATTTACTTTCTTTGTGTCCTTGAAATCTTTATGCTTTATCTTTCTTGTACGAGAAGAAGTGATGATAGTAATTACAAATATGATGAATAGATAGAGAAAAATAAAAATAAACAAGAATTCAAGCCTGGAACTTTTACATATATTGACCTTTTCGTTATACAGTAGTGGCCCATCTGTGTTATTTGTTATTATTGATTTTTTTCTATACGGATCCAGAATCATCCATGATAATATGACCAAGTTAGGAAATACTGTCATCATTATGACAACCATCGCAATGACTTTATTGCTCCAGAAAGGGCTAAGATACTTGCTTAGTTTTTTGTTATAGAATATTTTTCTGACCCGCATTAGCTTAATGAGCAAAGTGAAGAAAATAAAAGTACACCCGTTGAAGAATATGGGTAAGCTAACATTGCAAAATACTACAAAAAGGATATCGGATATAACATGAGGAAATGATGCATAAGTAATTCTCATCAAGTCATTCAATAAGGCCAGGTAACAACCCAAAAATATCAAGAGACTTACAAATGGACTCGTTGCTTTTACTGGTGGCTTAGATCTGTGATACAGTAGACATATCAATATGATGGTAACAATAATTGCTACTGACAGTACAGCTACATACAGTCCAATGGCAACATCACTTGGTATCGAGATAACTACTGTACTGATTTCATCAGTTGGAAGATTGTTAGTAGTTATATTTATTGTTTTATGGTATGAATCATAATATCCAATTGGTACATGAGGTTCAGAAGCGTACGAATTTACCTGATATATATTAATTGGTGTTGATACTTCTCTTCTCCTTGAGAACATAATGTGTCCAGTAGCACCTCTGAAACTAACCTGACTTAACGATTCTTCTATTTTATCGGTGACCTCATATTGATCATAGCTATAGTCCTCCATTGATATGTTGTATAGTTCAATAGCATTATTAATAGCAAGGGCTAGAGCCCATACTTGATCATACAGTAAACCAGCATACAGTACATCTCCTACATCATGGGCCAGACTATGCATGAATTAATTGCCTTTTCCTTGACATAACTTACTATAATAAGAGTACAACAGGAAAAAGCTACTAGATTGCAGGAATAGTTGCTTTGCTTAAGTTGTGTGGGTTTTACTAACTTTATGCAAACATGGTAGCTAGTTTTTACTGACAAAATGCAAACATTGTTTTAAATTGTCGCTGCCATTTGTAGCCAAGAAGGACAGAAGACAAGAAGACATCGTCGGTCATTGGTCATGATCATCATCGTTATCTTATCACTGTGTTTGTCAACATTTACAAAGACTAATAAGGTAGTCAATTTAGCATTGGTCTCGCTTGGCCTGATGACTATTTTTTGCATTAAATTTCATTTGCATATTATTCTTGAGTACATTGTTAAAAGTTTATATTTATTTGTTTACATTTTAAGAGAAAGTTATTAAACATGAAAATTAATTATTGACATCCTGATTAAAATAATGTCACAATGATC